CAAGAAAATGTATGCAGAATTAAGAGGAAGGGCTGATTGGAGAGCAGTAATAGGAAAAAAAAGGTTTTCTTCCTTGTAGGTCATTTTGTCCACCCACCTAGTTTAGTAGTGGTCAGAATCCTGATCCTGTTAATCCTGTATGATGTCTGGTTTGCCCCAACAGTAGTTTCTTGTGTATGGAATTTGATGGTCTCAGCAGAAAACTGCATCACAGATAACCTTTGTGCCTCCTCATACAGAGAGGAGAGAAATCAAGGATTAAATGGATTAGGTCACAGGGACTGACCCAAATCGCATGCTGAAGAATGAGGCATGCTGCCAGGTGTGGGAAGAGTTTGACCCCCTTCTCCTGCTGTGTGGATAAATCCAGGTGGGACACCATGCACACACATCTGTAACTTGATGGTTACGTGGGAAGTTCCAACTGGTGTTCCTCTGAATTGAGGTTAGGGAGCTGCTCTTCAGGGGACACACAAGTTGAGCTGCAGTTCATGTCTGCACTCAAAGGCCACTCCAGTGGCAGACCAAGAGATTTTACCAACTTCTTCACGTGATTTTCAGGTGAATTGGCAGGTTTAGTACTCTGCTTGCAAGGCTGTGCTGCCTATTTAATTAACCCCTATTACCTGAGAGTAACAGCTGCTACGGTGTGGGACTGAAGTTCAGCTTCTCCTAAATGGATTAGGGATTGCATCTGTAAGAGTCAAGCTTGTCTTAGGACATCAGGCAGACCTTTCTCAGCTGGTGGCTTGGCGCAGGGATGGAAACTGCCTCAGCTAGACAGTAAAGCCGTTTGATCAGTCAGCAGTATTCCTCTGGACATGTGTACAAATTACTTCTCTTTTGAAAAAAAGAGTGTAGTCTTTGCTACCTCAATAATCTACTTGATTGGGAAGCCACAGTAGGAAACTTGTCTCCATAAAAATGTAAGTGCTCGAGGAGAAGCAGCAGTATTCCACATGATTAGGAACTACTCTGTGTGCGGTTGAAACCCCAGTCCGTAGCTTCAGCTTCCATGTTTATGCAGACTTGGAATGAAAGTCAATGCCTGTGAAAGGTGGGCAGAATTCCAGCCATCTTCAGAGCTAGGATCTCATGCTGGATTACTTGGATTTTCCTTCTTTTGAAACGGTAAACACTTTTTATTTCCCATAGTTAGTTACCTTTTCTGTGTAGCCAAATCCTACCTCTAAGCAAATGCATTGCAAGTGGTTTTTTTTAAGCTCAGGCAGTTTTGGTCTGACTCAGTGAAAAATGAGAGGTCATTACAGTGGGACCAGGACACAGGAGCTGGAGGAGATTTGTTACCTAGCAAAGTTCAGAAGACTCTCATACATGGTTTTGGTGAAGGCATAAAGAGCGTTGGCAACTTGCAAATCAGCCTTGGAGCTTGTTTCTAATAAAGACATAAAATGTAGCACCTCAGGCTTCTGCTTTGCCTCCTCCACGTGCAACAACCGCAGCGTGCACACATTATCACCTGGCGAGGTGAGTCTGTCTGAACTGGAGCTTTGGGGATTATAAACCAAGATTCGGTCATTCAGGAGCACCCCCAGATCTATGTGAAAACAAGGAATAATGAGCATAATCACACATGGAGGAAAAGAGACAGGTCCTTAAACCCAAGTGTTGGTACCCAAGTCCATCCTTTTGTGTATCTTACAGTACCTCGTTACTGGCTTCATTGGAACAGAAGCCCATTCGGCTTCACGTCTGCATCCCGAAGTCCCCACAGCCTCTCTGCTGACACCCCGTGGTGTTGTGTGTGCCGTACGACTCCTTAGCCTTCCCTGCAATGAACTCTGCTCCTGTGCACAGCCTCTTCCGTTGATCTGACTGCTCCCCTACCTACTCCCAAGCTTTGGGTTTGTGGGCCAGAAGATGAGGCAGAAAGCAAATCTGAAATACGCCGACGGCATCACCACGGAGCTACTGCTGCCCAGAGTGTTCACCCGTGCGGGCAGGCTCTCGGGGACAGAGAGCAGGTGAGCAGATGAGCCCCTGCTTTGTCTAGAATTCAGCGGATTAAAGGATAACGTGGCCAGTGGACAAGTTGGAATCCGTCTTTTGGCACCCTGGGTGCCCAGGATCTGCTAGCCTGGAAGCTCCTGCCTTCCCAACTTCCCCACCAAGCCCTCCTGAGGAGGTCTGAGTTTCCCTGCTGTGGAGCACTAAACCTTGACCCCCACAGAGCTTGTCCTTCCACGTTTTTCCTACTTGAAAGAGTAGGGAAATGCATACAAATTACCATCAGGTACTGAGGGTACGCTCCAGCAGTTTTCTGTGGAAGATGTGAATGAGGGGAGGGGAAAAAAAAAGACAGTCACACTAGATTTCATGTGAATAGTTTAATTATATTTCAATGCTTAAAACACAGAAACACCTGAATTAAATGACATCATAATGCTTCTGCTAAACTGGACATATACTTCCAGGAACTGTGAGAGGGAGGGGATGCTACTGAACTAAAAGAATACTCCAGTAAAGCCCAGCACATACCCATCATATTCTTTTAGTCGTCTTATCTGCACTGCTTTAATCTAAGGGCAGTCATCAGAGGGCAAAGCCTACCATTACAGGAAGGGTGGTTGCAGAGAACTCCTGTAGGTGTGTGCTGTAGGAGGGCTCTCTCAGCATTAAGGTGGAACAAGGTGCGTGTGCGTGCACCTGAGCTGGCGATGCGCTGCTTGGCAGCTGCCTGAGCGGCGCATGGCGTTGGCCAAAGAGCACAAGGTAGGCTGTTGGTTTGAGGAAGCAGCTCAGCTCACGCTTGTCTTTTATCGAGTTTGAAAGAACAAAGGAAGTTCCAATCCTAAGACTCCTAGGGGAAACGTCGCGATTTAGGGAAGCCGTGCACCGCTGCAGAGCGGGGGAGTGTGACAGGCGGTGACGTGCCAGCTGCGGAAGGGAGATATCTGATGTCCCTGTGCCTGGCTGCCCTCAGCGAGCACTCAGGGAGGAGGTAAGTGTGCCTGTGTGTAGGAGGGTGACGTATTTGCTTCTTAGCTGGTCCCGTAGGCGTAACCTCTGGGAAGATCCACAGATAGTGGCCAAATTCTAAGGACCTAAACGAGGCCCTAAACACTGAGTATTTGTACCCACTCACCTTCCTTCCAGAGCATCCCTGGAGTGCCAACACCAGCAGCAACCAGCAGCCTGGGAGCGCCTCCTGCCAGATCCCCTGGGTATGGAGGATGGGCTGTTTTCCACGGGTGGTGACACTCTTAGCCCTAATACACTCCCAGAACTCACTGCTTTTAAAAAGAAAGAGGGATGCTAAAAACTTAAAGCAACTTAGCCCTGTAAAACTGCCATGAGGGGAGCTGTGCCAGTGAAGGAGGGAGGGACTGTGCACTGCAGGGGTCAGTGGCACATGCCCAGGAAAGTCTGCATTTAGTGAGCACTGAAAATAGAAAAATCACAGCGGGGAATTAAAAAACAAATAATTTGGGAGGAAAAAAAACTAAATGGCAGGTCTAAACTTGTAACAGAACACATGATACCTGAATTGCTGCTCAGTGAAACATCTGCTTGCATAAAGCCTGCCTTTAGATCTGCGTTCAGGTTTTGGCTTGCCCCGATTCCCGACTGGTGCTGTGGTTGGAATATGACCTGACAAATACATTTACTGCAAAGCAATCAGGTGATCAGTGCACGGTTGGGCATGGATGCTGGCATGCAGGCTGTGCTGCTGGCCCCTGGCTGCTGTGCTGGTCTGCAGCACTCGGGGCTGATGGCCACCAGAAGGCTCTGCAGAGGACAGCCCTCGTGCCGCACTGCTGCGTGCCGAGGTGGCTGGGGACCCCTTCGCGTGCTCTCCCTCCTGAAGGACACACAGGCAGAGAGATGCTTCTGGGTTACAGGGAAACTCCTGGCTTACCTGTCTAGTCCCACCTTCTGCCTTGGCAGGTGACATGAGCTACACAGAGCTCCGTGTTTCCTTCAGCACGGACTGCGGCTCCTGGCAGGTAAGGAAGTACGAACCAGCTGTTCAGTCACCTCTGGGGGCAGACATGGCGCTGTTGTAATTTTGAGCCAATACATGTTTTCCCTTATTTAAAAGAAAGTATTCCAAGGCTTAATCATTTTTTCTGGATAACACTCTGCACTATAGAAGCTTCCCTGAGCCAAAGCAGGAGGGGATACTTGGTATTGGAATGCCAGTTCTACTCAACTCCTCTGTGGCCCAAGCACCACGATTCCTAGCTCAGCAGCAGGGAGTCACGTAGCCATGACACTGCCACCCCCTGCCTCTAGCTGTGTGAATTCCACTCTGTACAGCAGCCCTCATTTGGGATATTCAGCCACTTCCTCAGCTAATATGTAATCAGCCAGATGTTCACTATTTCACTTCTTAAAGCTAGTGAATGGTGAAGTGGATGCTCCAACCTCACCCTGGGCACACGTTTGCCAGCAGCCCACATCCCACGGGAGATAAGCCCAGGATATGTGTTTTCCCTGGCATGGCCCAGGTTACCCCTCAGCTAGAGGAGTCAGCTCTCCTTGCCAAAAGGGGCTTTGCCACCAGTCACCCTGCCAGGCTCTGCCAAAGCTGCAGTCACTGCACAGAGAAGCTCATTCATCGCTTTCCTTGGGGTCTGGTGGCACAAAGCCAACGGGGAAGGTCTCCAAAACACACACCTCTCCTCCTTCCCTGACCCAGAGAGCGCGCACACGTGCTCTGACAGGTTAATCTACAACAAAGCAGGCGCTGTTCCTAAGCACGCAGCTTGGTAGATGGTATCGGTCAGCACCGGTCCAGAAACTGGAGCTCGGGACCTTTCAGTGGTAACAGACGCACCAAAAAATCCCCACTGCCATCACAAAGGCTTTGCTTCCCAAAGTGACGACAGTTCCCAGTGCTTGTGCCCATTTGTAACACAAACCAACGGGGTGGCCGGCTGGGCTCAGCGGATTGGCCACGCTGGCGGGAAGTCACTGGTTTGTTGGCTTCATCCTCCCCAGTCTCGGCACGATCCCAGAGCAGGGGCAGGAATTGTTCACGCATTGATGGCATTGGCAACGTCTGTGAACACAAGACGGCTGGGTCTCTGGAGGGCTCCTTGACTTGTCAGCAGAATCTGCATTGAAGCAGTGAAAGATGAGCCCCAGCGAGTCTGCCTTCGCTCAGGTGCGTGTGCTTAGGCACAGGCTGCACCCTGCTGTAACCAGACGCAGCCCCTCGACAAGCGGGGCTGGCTGACTAACATGGCATTAACAAGGCTGTGACAGAAAAATACAACAGGCCGGAGAGCAAGTCAGCACATCCATGCCAGTTTAAAATCCCCACATCATTGGATTACTGGGTCTTACTATTTATATATACAAGGCAGCATGAAAAGACTTGAAACACCAAGAAGGCCTGGAAACATGCCACAGACTGAACCTTGTCTGTTGTTTTAGACTCTCCCTGTCTATTAGGTTAAGTCTTTAAACTTAGGTACTTCCTAAGCAAAGGTGTCTGTGCATTAGCAAGCTCTGGAGGGATCTGACGTACCCTCCTGGCCCTATATGGGAAAAATTTGCTTTTACTGTGCTAGGTTTAACTCTGGCCTTGTCATTTCCCCCTTTACTACCTGAGGGGAAGTTCTCTACATGCACTAATAGAGGGACCTGATGTTTTCCCAGTATGTACTACTCAGAGAACAAGATCCTTTGCTTTTACACAATGGTATTTCTTGCTTTCCCAAGCCAGTGCATGGAAAAGGTCAACTATTTTTCATATTCCAACACACACATCTCCTTTGTGCTCTTTGGCAGGTTGGGAAGCATGTCTCAAGGGAAATATTTTCTAGTTACAGTTGTATTTATTGTCTCTTCTCTCCCTTTCTGCCCACATCAAGCTTTCTACAGGTTAACTGAAGGCGTAAAGTGCGTGGAAACTGAGAATTGTTTGGGACAACTCCTGCTCCTGGAACTGGGAAAGCAAGGGAAGACACAGGCAACACAGAGCAGCTGGAGAGGAATTCAAGAAAGGAAATGTCTACTCTAAGAAGAGGCTGCATCACTGGCTGAGAGACGTACCTGTTCCAACCATCCCTGCTGGCTCTGTCTTTTAGAACGGCTTTTTGTGTGGTGGGGTGACAAAGGAAACAGAAAACACCGTGAAGCTGGCTACATTCAATGGTGAGAAGCCCTTCTTCCCTATTTCTCCTACCTCTTGGTACAGTGGGGAAGAAGACAGCCTCGAGTCTAAGACCCATCTGGACCATTAACCAAAACCAACAGGCCAAGCTATCGAGCTCTTTTCTAACTCACAAATGTAATAAGTCAGTGTTCCCTAAGGACCTTATTTCTCAGCATGCTGCATACCTTTGAACACTCAGAAGTGGTCAAAGCAAAGCCGCCTTCCCCTCTCCCCAAATCCAAATCAAGAACTCTCCTCCCTTTTCTCTTTCTGAGCCTTGTTCCACACTTGCATCCCTGGGCAAAGCAGGGATACCTTAAAACTGTCTGGGAATGATTTGCTTTTATGGACACTGAAGCCCCGTCTCCCAGAAAATGGCATTCATCCTACCACTCCCTTGTGGTGCCCTGGGTGGTAAACCGTAGTAAACTCGCCCTCCGTTACTGAAGTTGCCCTTTTCTCTCTCTTAGTTGAGTAGAGCCAGCACTTTGCCTCCCCAGGCTCTTTGTCCTAGTCGCTAGACTCTTTGGCCTATCCTAAGCACTCCAAAATGCCCAAGCCCCCTATCTCCAGGCCTGGCAGAGACTGGAGGAAGTCTTCCTGAGGTCTTCCATGGTTTCCTAACCCTAGGAAAACCCACTGTAACAAAAGCTGTGCAGGTACCAGTGGTTGTAGCAAGGGCCTCACTGGCTGCTGTAGCCTACCTTGCTCTGTGACGCCTGGGAAGATGCTGCATCCCGCCCATGTTCCAGCAGCTCCTGCTCCAGTTCATCCTGTTCCTCAGTGGGATCAAAGTTGTACATAGGCATGAGCTGGTGTCGCAGCTTCTCCAACCTGCCCATGGGAGGGAAGGGAAAGGGTTGGTTGGGAAGGACAGGTGCTCAGGCTGCCTTCCCCACCCCACTGCGGCGGCTTTCTCCAGGCTACCTCTCCTGCTGCATAGGGATTCTGCTCTTGTTGCTCTTGCTGGGTGAGGGTCACGTCCTGTCCTGCAGGATGAGGATAAGAACCCACTGCACACAGCTGGCAGGAGTGGAAGGTACCCAGAGTGCAGTTACAGGAATTAACTGCCATCACTAATCCACGTTGGCAGGCATTATGCATGGAGGAACTGGACAGGGATTTAAGTTCCTGCAGACCTTGAAAGGTCAAGCTTTATGGGGTGGGACAAAAGAGACAGTGGCTACACGTTCTGTGACTTCTCTCCTTGTCCCTCTGCCCACAACAGCCAGTACTGCCCTGTCATACTATGTCTGCCAGCAGACATCTGCTTCTAGCTCCAGTGGCCTAAGAGTGGTGCTTTAACTCTGGGTAGAAGTACATAAAAATAAATAGAAAATAATAAACAATAAATGAAAATAGGAAAGAGATGGATTCTCGTAGGAAGCTGATGCCTGTGGACAGACTGTTCTCACTCTTGTATCATTGCTCCAAGTGACAGAGCTAGAAAGTATTACCCCAAGGGGTCTTCCTAAATACTGGGCAGCTCTGAAACAGAGGACGGATGGGTGGGCATGCTCCTGTGAAAATACCGAGCCCTGCCTTAGGCTGTAGCTGAATTTTGGGGGGTAGGGGAGGGAGAAACACAAGCAATTACTGGCAGTGTCACCACAAATATCTGTTTTGGCAAGTGTTAGGATGACACATTCCCTCCCTGCTCCTGTATGGGTTTGCCAACACAACCATTATCTCCAGCAGCACTATGTTCTCAGGCCAAGCATTAGCTGCTCCTGTGGCAGTGCCCAGATCTGGGCTTTAGGGTCTGGCTTGGAAATTTTACAGTTGGCAGCAGCAAAGTCTTCAAAGTCCGTGGCCAGGCCAGGCCTGCCACAGGGAGGTAAGGCACCACATCTAATGGATCTTTACCAACATCTCTGCTGTCGGAGACAGAAGAATCAAGACGTGTGTCTCCCTGCATGTTCCTCCCTTGTCTGTTTTCAGCCAGCAGCTTAACAAGGAAATTGAGATGCTAAGTGTTGGTCTAGAAAGCTGCATCCCTGCATTATGCTGCTGCCAGTTGCTGTAACTGCAGCTGAAGAGGTTTTCAGCCTTCCAAGGCCATTGTCACTGGCCCGGGCTGTTGGAAAACATAGGGATCTGGGAATGGCTGAAACATGAAATCCACACCTCTCATGACGGAGTTCCCAGCTTCTCAAACACTCATAACCCTTTCCTCTGTTCTAGTGCATCTCATAGCTGAAGCATGAAGAGTTTGCAGGATCCCCAGCCTCCTCCTGCTCAACCATGTTTTCCTTTCCAAAGCTGCAGAGAAGCCTCTGAAGCTCTGGTGTTAGGAGGTGCCCAGTACCAGGAGCGCTGTGTCCCTACCCCTGCCTCATTCCCACACAGCTGATTCCCTGTAGGTTTGTACTCAGACAGCCATTCCTTCCACTCTCCCCATCTGCCTGTCTCCTTCCTAGCTTGCCCTGGATTTCGGAGCACTGAGTTCCCTTCAGCCAGCACCAAACACTACTTACCTCTTCCTCTTCCTGATATACAGAACCTGAGGGAGAAAGAAAACCATCATTACAACAGTCCCAGTAGGAAGGGGAACAGCTGAGGAGAGAAGTTCTGGGCACAGGGCACGCAGAAAGGAGGTGCAGCAAGGCCGGTGTCACTGCCCACCAGAGCTGGGGGAAGGGGGAAGTGACAACCCAAAATGAGATTTCACAGGCGTCAGTGTAAGCTGGGCAGCGCGTTGTGTCTGACACGAAGTGCTTGAGTGGCCTGTTATTAGGTGTGTTAGTAGAAGTGAGAGTATTAGGTGTGTTATTAGGTGTGGCTCAGCACGTTTTTGGTGGCTGCAGGACAAATGTTGCAATTTAAGAGTGGATGAAGAACCTTCCCTTTGTGGTTTTCATCTGTAGATTTCCTACAGCGTAGAAGTGCTGTCACCCCCTCCCCAGTGTAAAGGGAAGAAGCAAAGAGGGCATGCTCAGTGACTTGCCTCGTGTCAGCCAGTAAGGGTGGCTGTGGTGGGAAGAAAGTGAGGCTTTTGGCCTCCAGAGCCTTGTTCTGAGAACTACGAACGCTGGATGTTGCTCTTTGGAACTTATGACCGTTTCCAGGATCATGTTTCCAGGTTCTCCTAGGGGCTTTTGGAAAAACTCCTCCTTGGGCCTGCAATGAAATTTTGCAGTAGTCCCTTTCTGTAGACTCCTCTGCTGGTTGTATTAGTGAAACTCTTCCTCATACGAGGAATGGGAGCTTGCTGCTACGTTCCGTTCTCTGTTGGCAGGTAAATGATCTGGTTACATATCAGAAGAACTATTGCAGCGCCTGCACTGCCCGTGTCAGGCCCAGAGCTACCGTTTCTGAAAGCTCCTGCCTGCAGCATTAATGGCAAGGTTAGTTACGCAGCAAATCCTCAAGGACCTTGCTGATGCCCAGCAAGTAGAACCTTGGAAATGCAGCCCGGAATAAGCCTAGCTAAAATGGGTTCAGGCTGCTGTAATTCAGAAGGCATGTCCAGAGGGGAGATGAACGTGGTTTCAACAGTCTGCTCTAAAAGTTAATTTGGATGAACTTTCTTGTGGGCCGCCGTGTTGACAAGGTTTAAATCAATGCAGCCGTTCCAGTTAACAAGTCAGAACAGAATCTGCCCTGTGTTCTTTTAACTGAACCTCCTATTGCTATTAAATACTGATACTACATATGGCTTCCTCTAGGCCTGCTGAGCATCCTGCTTGGACTGGACCTCAGGGAGACTGCAGAAATACTGGGGCACTGCACAAAGGCCTTAAAAAGAAAAGGATGTCAAGAACTATCAGTTCCCAGCAGTTCTGGGTGAGTCTTTAGGAAACACAAATAAACTACTCAACCCACACCAGCCCTAGAGCCCCTTTGCCACCCTCAACAGACAGAAATATTTAGCAGGACTCACTTACCATAGCTACAGTCAACCCAACTGCAGTAATGATCCCGAAGGACAGCAGCATTGTGCTCACGCCGGGTCCACTGCTGGCCACATCTGGGATTTTGGTGCTGTTGAAACTGGTAGTCTCAGGGCTTACGGTAGCTGTTTCTGGTACAGTCACATCCAGAGTTGTCCCTGGGTCTGGCTTGGTGGTGGTGCTGCGATACGAGTCCTGCACAGAGGGTGAGCTGTAACTCATCCTGCCAGCTCTTGGTAGCTCCTCTGACCGAGCTATTGTCCTCACCCATCAGCTACAGAAGCGGAGCGCTGCCATTCGTATCAAGGACCCTCAAGTGAGGCCTATCCTCTAGCATCATTGCTGATGGTTTTTCTTCATAGCAAGCATGCTGGTTTCTGCCTAGGAAAGAATGAGAGGAAATGAACAGTGCCGAGTTCTTGGAGACAAGCACAACTTCTTCCAAAGCTTCACAGTTCACTAGTATAATGTCTGAGAGCAGCTCACAGATGCCCAGAGAGTACTGGAGGTCCCCGAAGTCATGCGTGATTCACTTGAATCGGTGATACGCTTTTTCCTCGCTGCTTCAGCTCTGCCTCCTTGCAGGCACTCGGCAGATCTGTGTGGGGACAACCTCAGAACCCCTGTTTTAGACTGCTCCAGGCTAAGCCGGGTGGCCTCTGTCTGCCCTGAGAGATACAGCATTTTCCTGCTTCTCTCTCTTGCTTTTAATTTTTGGAAAGTTACATGGATCCCCTTATCAGTGGGTACACATCCAATAAAATGGCCCTCACTATGAGGCTTCCATATCTCGGGATATTTTTTACTGATTCCAAAGCAGGATTTCCCTGTTGTGGCAGTCACTGGTGACTGGTAAGTCACTGCACTATCCATCGCCCCCCTGTCCCTCATCCCACGCACTCTGGAAAGGCAGCTTCCTTGAAGCAGCGGGTTGCACCGGTCCCCATCTGCTACTAAAGACACTGAGTATTTCTCAAGTCCCCCATGAAAGCACCCACTCAAGCTTAGTCATGCACTGCTAATTATCAATATTAATTTAAAAATGAGTCCAGTTTTGCAGTTGTGAAATTTGATAGATCTGTTGAAAACATGAAAGGCTTTAGTTGCTTCACGCTTATATTGTGCAAATCATCAGGAGTTGCAAAACACCATGGGATGGTCCTATGGGAAGTATTTCCACAACTTTGTTTACAAGCCCACTGTACAAAACATCAGTTCAGCAATTGCTCCTGTGAAAATGCAGCTACCTGTGGACCACAGCAGCACTGACCCCGAGAACTACTGTAGCAGACCTCTGATGAATTCCCTGTGGTTTAGCAGACGTTACATCTCTGGACTGGAATGTGGCTGGGACATAGGGGTTAATGAGCTCTGAATAGAAAATGATGTGCCTGCAAAGAGAAATGAGCCATTGTTCCGCTCCACTCTGTTCTATTCTAGGCAAGGTTATTGCGCAGCTCCCACTGCTGTGACGCCCTACTGCTGTCCCTAACTGCATTAAGCAGCATGATTAACATCTGTCACTAACAACTGAAGCAGAGATATCCCATCAGGCAAGCGGCAGGCAGCCCAGTGATCGGTCGGCAGCACGTACACCACTTGTCCTGCATCTCCTGGAGCAGGTAAATCCCTCACCACACACGCAGGATCTGTCTCAGCTCCCTGTGAACAACTTTGTGAAGCCAGAGTTGGTGGGGGGATTTAAAATGCCTGGGAGACTACAGGAGCTGTCAAATTCCCAAGAGTTTCTAAAGAAATGTGAAGATAGCAGTTCTGATGCCACCTAAGTTTGTGCTGAGACATGAGTTTGTTGCAGCTGAAAGGGAGCGTGTCCCTCACTGACACCCAACCACGCACGCCTAGTTTAAACCTGGCTTTCCCCCGCCACTCCTGACCACCGTGGGGCTCAGGGGTAGCGGCCATTCCTGACGTGGCGCTCAGTGGTAGCGGCCATTCCTGACCCCCGTGGGGCTCAGGGGTAGCGGACGCTCGGGTGCAAAGATGGTAAATTTGAAATCTGAGCGCCACAAAAGCAGCAGCTGCAGCCCAGCAGGGAAAGGGAAGGAATTGTTGAGCAGGTATTGGGCAGACCGAGCAGCTGCTCAGAGAGAACCATCGATTTGTGCTATTCAGGGAAACTCTCCATGACGATAATTCACATTTTAAAAAAGCCACCAACAAGGAAACAAAAAGTGGAAAAAGAGCCTAAGTGAAGGGGAGTGAAGCAGGCTCAAGGGCTTTGCAAAAGTATGGCTCTAGATCTCAAACACCTCCTGAATTCTGGAAACAAAATGGGTTAGGCCTTCATCGCGACGGGGTGTCAGTTCTAGAAAACCACTGGAACCTGGACGTTTAAGCTGATACCAAGCCTTTGAGTAAGACCCTTTTTGTAGGGAGCACACACTGTGCTGCTGGTCATTGCTTACTGAAGTCAGGCAAGGTTAAAATTAGCCAGCCAAGAAACTGGTTAAGTGGGACTGGGGCTCTTGTTCATGCTCCCAGGGTCCCGTCCATGCTGAAGGATTCCCAAGCCCAGAGACCTAGCTCTGAAAGCAGACCTGTATGAAAGGTTTCTGACATGGTTTAGACAACCAGTTCCAGGCCCAGATGAGGATATTTCGGTTCCCCAGCCCCTTCTGGTCCAGGCGGCAGCAGGCCAGATAGGGAGGCTGAGTGCAAGTATGGCCCAGGGCCCACAGCTTACAACAGCAGATAGGGGTGAGGGATCTTTCCTGCCACCTTCCTTTTCCTGCTGTCATCCTGGTGCTGGAAGTTTCATCTGCAGGCTGGGCGCAGTCCAAGCCTCTGATGGTCGCTCTAGGGCCAGGGACAGCTACTACCTATTGTTGGCAGGTTACAGCATCGTCCATGCACAAACAGAACAGAAGAGGAACCAGATCCTCAGCTGCTGTGAGCTGGCATTCTTCCACTGCCTGCACCATCAGAGCTTCTCACACAGCCAGGACCACTCCGTGCTGGGCTCTGCTGGGCCTGGGAATAAGGAAAACATGTTTGCTTCTCTCTGAAGCCAGCATTTCCAAACTGGTCTCCGATAGGCGCTGTGGTGGCCAACATCTCCGAGATGCAGAGAACATCGTGTGTCAGGCACTACCTTGAGGCTGCTGGCTTTTCCGAGGCTTGGTTTTAATCCCTCTGTGCTGCAGTTCCCTCTTGGGTATGACAGGAATAGAGGTCTGTGTCACAAGGATGACGATGGGTCACAGGGTCTCTGGATGAAGAGGGCGGGTAATGGCTAGTGGTTTTCTGCAGTACTTCACCCCGTGAAGTGTCCCTCGTCATTCAGCAGCACAAGCGGCATCGGGTTGCTGCTGGCTACGGGATGTGGCTTCCCAGGGTGTGAACTTGTGGCTGCCCCCGTACAGGGCTGACCGGGCTCCAAGGCAGCCCCCGGCGCATGGGGAAGCCCCAACGGCGCCTGCCCGCAGTCTCGGCGCACCCCAGCTGCCCCCTCCTGCTCTCAGGGGGTGCCACGGTCCCATCCCACCTGCCACCGGCGCGGGGACCAGCTCTCCCACCGCGCCTACTCCGCGCGGAGGGAAAACCGAGACTCGTCCTCGGGAAAACCTGAGCG